AGTGGAACACATTTGACCACAGCTGGCTGTGGTCAGTCATATGAGACTGCCTCTATAAGGCGTAGAGAGAAATGGGTCCTGCCTATTGGAGCGATGCATCTTGTACTAGAGCATGTGGGGCCAGGAAAACTCACAGCAAAGCAGGGTGCAGAGCAGATGAGAGTTAGCCCTGTGCTATGCTGAAGTTATCAAACCCTTGTTCTCATCCACATGCCAGTTAATCATCTGTCCCATGTGAGCTAAGTCAGGGTTTTAGTAACCCAGACTTCCCCATAATACCAGCTTCATAGTTAGCACAGACCAACTGGAGGAGTCTGCTTGTAACCTGTGCTGTGCTGACATTCTTTGGAGTGTTCCTACACCACTGAGCATCTCTGGCCCTGAAATCACAAAGCTGAGGGAGGTCCAATGCAGAAAAGAAAAATGTGCTTGCAATCCCATTTGCATCCTGAATATTAGGCAACTATCAACCTTTTAATTATGCATAATATACCATTTCCTTCCTTTCAGGAAGATGAGAGCAGAATTTGCACTACCAACTTTTTATGTGATATTTCAGTGAGTAAAACACATAACCAGACATGAGGGATTTTTACTTAATAACACCCGGTCCTAGCAAACCCCTATTTTTCTAATGAATAAACTGTTATCTGGATGGAGGAAGAAGGAAAAAGAAAAAGAAATTATAATCACATTGGCTTAGCTCTAGTATTTGAACCAAATTACTTTTTTTTTTTCTTAATTAGTCTGCCCAATTTCCTCATTAGAGTTTCACAGATTTTCAGACAGCATTAGTTTTGTCCCAGAACTTATCTCACATTTATTTGCAAGTATCACACTAATGCATTAAGGGAATTGTTTCGTTTTGTACTTGCATGGTGAAAAAAAATTAACAGCTTTGTATTTCCCTCTGCAGTCCTTTATAATGAGAAATACTTCAGGAATAGGCAATTTTAAAGAACATAAATTGCTTCTCCCTCTAGCAAAAGTCTGCAATCACTGATGAAAGGGTCCTTCTCTTCTGTGCTGTTAATGAACAGTCAGCAGTACAGGCTTCTCTAGCCATCCAGTGTAGAGGCCATTGACTCATGCCAAATATTCTGGTACTCTAATCTACCTGTTGGGAGAGGAACAGCCTTCAGAAACAACTACTGTCTCCATTCCAGAAGCTTTGAATTATTCCAATGTGCTTTCCACATTAGGTTAAGTCCCCTTGGATTGGGTTTACATGGTAAGGTTTTGGTAGCAGGGGTGGCTTCTGGCTTCTGTGATAAGCTGGTAGAAGCTTCCCCCAATGCCAGCCAGCTCCAAGACAGACCCACTGTGGGCCAAGGCTGAGCCCACCAGCAATGGTGGTAGTGCCTCTGGGATAATGTATTTAAGAAGGAGGGGGGGGAAATTGTGCAGAAGTAATTGTGGTCAGGTAGTGGGTTGGTTTCTTGGATTTTTTAGGCCTTCCTTAGCAACGGGGTCAGAAATCTAAGGAAGTGTTCCATATCATTCCTTTCCGTAACACAACATATAAAAAGGCGCAGATAAGAGAGTTCACTCTCTTCGCTCTTCCAGTGGCTGAAGGCGACAGGTCCCTCTCGGTTTTGCTTGTATAGGCCAGGGCCTGCTGCTCAGACCTGCCGTTATCTCCGTTCCATTCTGGAGGTGTGGGGAGTTGGTTCTGCTGTCCCGTTCAGGGAAGTATTTAATTCGTTTTTGTATTTATTTGCTAACTCTCTATTGAAGGGGTATATTTAGAAGATATTTTAGTTCTTTTATCCTTGTTTCCCCCTCCCTTTTACTATTGTGTATAATATATTCAAATTGTATATATAATTGCAAATATATGTAATATATATATATTTGATAGAATCCCGTTTCATTTGAACTTCTTTCAGTTTTTTTTTCCCTGTGTTTCCCAGTGTTTTTCCCTCGCCTGGGGAGAGCAGGAGGGGGGAGAAGACAGCTTGGACTTGGCAGGAGAGCCAGGCCAAACTGATACAGGTCAGAGAGTGGAGAAGTGAGAATATGTGAGAAAAACAGTCCTGCAGACACCCAGGTCAGCGCAGAAGGAAGGGGAGGAGGTGCTCCAGGCACTGAAGCAGAGATTCCCCTGCAGCCCATGGTGCAGACCTTGGTGGGGCAGGATGTGTCTCTGCAGTCCATGGAGGTCTACAGTGGAGCAGAGATCCACCTGCAGCCCGTACCAGAGCAGGTGGATGCCCAAAGGAGGCTATGACCTTGTGGAAAACCTGCACTGGAGCAGACTTCTGCCCAGAATTGTGACCCCGTAGAGAGAGGAGCCCATGCTGGAGCAGGATTGCTGGCAGGACTTGTGACCCCACAGGGGACCCACACTGGAATAGTCTGTGCCTGAAGGACTGCTCCATGCTGGAACAATTCATGAAGAACTGAAGCCCACGGAGAGGACTCACATTTGAGAAGTTCATGGAGGACTCTCCTGTGGGAGGGACCCAAACTGGAGCAGGGGAAGAGTGTGAGGAGTCCTCTCCCTGAGGAGGAAGCAGTGGCAGAAATGACATATGTTGAACTGACTGCAGCCCCCATTCCCCATCCCTCTGTGCTGCTCTCAGGGAGGAGGTAGAGAATAGGGAATAGAGTTAAGCCTGGGAAGGAGGGAGGAGTGGGGAAAAGGTGTTTTTAAGATTTGGTTTTATCTGTCCTTATCTTGACCCATGAGCCTTTCATTATATTTTCTCTCCCCTGTCCAGCTGAGGAGGGGACTGACAGAGTGGTTTTGGTGGGCCCCTGGTGTCCAGCCAGGGTCAACCCTCCACAGCCATCTTCACCAGGAGAAACTCCTTCTTCCAGAGGAGTTGACATTGCAGTCAGCCAGATGCTGGGGCTAGTTCCAAACTTTGTACATGGGAATGGGAAACAGGAGAGATCCTCCTGTTGGAGCAGAACAAGAATGATCAGCCCATATACACCCAGGGATGCAATAGGGAGGTGGTACCTTTGTTTTGTTATTAGATTGGGTTACTTTATGCTGCTTCTTAACAGAATAAGGGAAGGAAAAACTTAAAACTATCACAAGATGTTTTTTGCTCATTTCAGCTGGAGCAGAGTCATACTGGGTATGACACCAGATATGAATCAATAATCTCCTGAAAAGAGATGTGAAAAAAGGCTTCCAAAATCCTTCTCAATTTTCCACATATAGCTGCGACTTAGACCCATCATGGAAATATTCGTAAATAAACATTTTAGTAGTGTGAAGTTTACAAGAATCTGTGTATTTTCTTTACTAAAAACAGGTTCTGGATCCTTTATTTTATTATCGGTCTTTCTGAACCACCAAGAATTCACTGCATTAAGTTTTCAGACCCTTCTTCAGCTCTTTCACTGCAGCCCAGTGAAATAGGGTGCCTTGCTGCTCTAAATTATCTTGGACCGTACTCCAACCTTTTTGTGAAGTTTGCATCCCTCTGAGCACAGTTCAGTTGTGAGCCTGTTAACTCCTTTCTCTGGCCCAATTAATTTTGAGGTGGATCAATTTAATCCTTGAATAGTTTGAACAGGTTCTTGCCTCCTTCCAGCTTGTGTCCATCTTTCTCTGAAAGCCTCTCGGTGATACAGACTCTGTGTCAGCCCACGTTGCACATTCAGGGGTACCATTCTGGAAGAATGAAAGTTCATGGAATGGAAGAAGAGTTCATGACAGCATCTCAGACATCAAATAAGGGTTTTCTTAATTCATGCAAACTTAAGCCAGGGTTAAATTGAACCTGTCCCTTAGGATTGACAGAGGACTTGTACAAAACCAAAGCAACAGGATTCATTTGGCTTTAATATTTTGTTTACAGAATGGCTTTTCACTCATCTTGTTACATATTCATGTGGCTGGGGAACCACTGGGGAGAGAGGAGAGGAGCCAAGACAGTTTTTTTCCTTGAGTCACTAAAAAAAATAAGAGGCATTTCATCAAGGAAAGTTGGTGAGTTTCTGTGCTCTGCAGCCGTGATTTTGTAAGTATGAACCTACTGTCAGTACTTAAATGAATAGTGTTCTCAAGCTGAACCTTTCAAAAGTACTTTTAAAGAAGGAATTGCTCCAGAGATAGCGGCAGAGCAGAAAAAAGGAAAAGAGCCACAGATTAAAAAAGCATCATGAGGCTCAGCAGTAGGTAAGTTTTGTAGATGGAATTGAAACTAGTGACATTTATACTGCAATAGCATTGAAAGGCTGTAGTCAAAGGAAAGGACACTTTAGAAAGGCTTTGTGAATATGTGAATGGCTGAGTGGCTGACAAGGCCTGATAGAAGAAAGCAGAATCATACACATGGACTACGAAGGAAGATAACAATTCGCTGAACTATCTGGTCATAGTCCACCAAACCTTTACCCTCCCACCATCAGTACATAGGTGTAAACTGTTGAACAAAACAACAGCAATCCCAAAGCAATACTCGTGTTTTAGTAGCTGGTTGGGTACGTGATGCGTTACTGCAGCCCCTGTCCTATGCTTGGATCCCATCCTCTGAAATCCTATTCAGTTAGTGCTGAGACAAAGTGAGGTCAAGCTAATGTTCTGGGTCTCCTTGCAGCTGACCTCCAAGCTGGATTTGTAGAACAAAGCAGTAAAGCTTCTTGCTGCTTGCAGTCCTCTGAAATCCTACAAGACTGGCATTGTGAGGATTGCTGTTTTCCACCTCATAGCCTTCTCCCCTGGATCCATTAATGTCAAATGGTTCCCTTATGACCTACAGTCTGGAGATGTATTTCTTCTGCCTCGGTTCTCTCTGGATTGAGCAGGGGTACTTCATCTCCTTTTGAAAGCCCTACCCATGAGAGATGCCGAATGTGCTGGCTGTGTTTGCCCGTTTCGTTCCTTCCATCACTCAATCCCGCTCGTTAGGCCTGTTGGCTGAAGCAGAAGTGTTGTGTGTGGAAGTGGGTTGAGAAGGAGCCAGTGCCAGTTCTCAGATGCATCTTTTAAATTACACAGACTGATTCCAAAGGTCAAGGGAAAGTGTTGGTCCGACTTGATGCTTCCTGCTGCAGTGGGCAAGAGTTTGGATGCGCGCTCTGTTGCAGTGGAGCACGGCAAAGGTAATTTCAGAGGGACTAAATGGTTACCTTATTGAATTTCTCTGGGGTGACATGGCTGGGGAGAAGCAGAGTGAAATAAGGACTCAGAGTAACAACACACTGTTTCCCTTTTTTTCCAGATATCCTGCCAGCAGCAGGAGCAGAGCAGAAGGAATATTTTGACCCTTCTTCTAAGAATAAGGTACTTAGCTCTGTTCCAGATGAATTGCATTGCCTTTGGCTGAAGTCAGATGTAGTGTGATGCTGCAGTCTTGATGAGCATTCGTTTCTCCACTGTGTCTGTGTTTTCTTGCTCATTTAGGTTCCTACACTGGAGGCAGAAGATCTTCAGCTAAGGTCTGATTCTTCAAGTCAAACAGATTCTCAGCTGGACAGACAGGTGACTCTAATAGAGGCAGAAGCAGATATCCCTAAATAGAGCCTGTCAGTGTAAGCAGAGGTGTTCTGACTGTGGAATTCATTTTGAAAAACTGCTGAGAGGAGGTGATTGAGTCTGGACCTGTGCTATACTTCAGACCTCATTTTGTTTGCATTCTGAAGCAGAAGGGCTGGAATAAGCCTTGCTCCAAGTCCCATCCAGCTTCACTTTGAACACTTCCACAACCGGGTCCAGTGTCCCACCACAGTCCTTGCAAACAATTTACCCCTTATGTCCCATCTAAATCTACCCTCTTTTCATTTTAAATGATTGCCTCTTCTTCTGTCGCTACAGGCCTTGGTAAAAATATCTCTCCCTCTATTTACACTGAAAGACAGCAGTAAGTTCTGCCCACGCTGAGAAACCCCATGTCTCTCAGCCTTTTTCATGGGAGGAGTATTCTAACCCTCTGAACATCTTTATGCTTTGTGAAATCCTGTCCACTCATAGTGTCACTGTTCAAGATATGGACAGAGAGATCACATCAGTTAACTTCACATCCAAAATGGACTGGACTTGGGGAAATTAATTTAATGTACTGCTAGTTCGTAGAGAGAAGGATAATGAGGAATAAGACCTTTAAACACCTTCCTGCTATCTCTTCCCTCTTCCCAGGCTCAACTTCAGTCCTGATTTCTCTTCCTCCTCCCCCACAGCAGCACAGGAGGATGGGGAATAAGGGCTGTGACCAGTTCATCACACTGTTCTTCATTATCATGCCTCCGCTTCTTCCTCCTCAGGCAGGATTCCTCACACTCCTCCCTGCTCCTGCATCAGATCCCTCCCATGGGAGACAGTCCTCCATGAACTTCTCCAACTTGAGTCCTTCCCATGGGTTGCAGGTCTTCATGAACTGCTCCAGCACGGATCCCTTCCACTCAGTGCTGTCCTTCAGGAACAGATGTCTCCAGAGTGGGTCCCCCCATGGGGTCATAAGTCCTGCCAGCAATCTGCTCCAGTGTGGGCTTCCTCTTTTCATGGAGTCACAAGTCCTCCCAGAAACCTGCTCCAGTGTAGGCTTCCCACAGGGTCACAGCCTCCTTCGGGCATCCCCCTGCTCCGGTGTGGGGTCCTCCAGGGCCTGCAGGTGGATCTCTGCTCCACAGTGGACTTCATGGGCTGTAGGGGGGGCACCATGGGCTGCAGGAGAACCTCTGTTCTGGTGCCTGGATCGCCTCCTCCCTCTCCTTCTTCACCGATCTGCAGGGCTGTTCCTCTCATATGTTCTTACTCCTCTCTTCTCTCTGCTGTTCAGCATTTATTAACTTTTCTTCAGTACATTATCACCACCATTTCTCAGCTTGCCCAGTGCCGGGTCTATCTTGAAGCCAGCTGGCATCAGCTCTGTCAGATGTGGGGGAAGTTTCTGGCAGATTCTCACAGAAACCACCTCTGTACATCCCCTGCTACCAAAACCTTGCCACGTAAACCCAGTATACTTACACAGATATTTCCTGGGGATTAGTTCCTGGGGAAGTTCCTTGTACTATATCTTTGTTCTCACATCTGATTTAGTTGTAGGACTCTATTTTTGGTTTGCATCTTCATTTTCAGTCATTGCACTCACTCACTCACTTCTACACTTACTCTGAGTAAATGAAAACTGCTGCATGCACTGGCCTAAGTAAAATTCAGTGCAACTTATGTAATTTCTTAGGTCTGATAATAAAAAGCTTATGCCTGATACAGTGAGGCACTCGAAAAATGTTTAATACTCTTCTTTTATCCTAATAGGGACTAGGAACAAAAAAGTGCTCTAATCTAAAGAGATGAGCCACTTAACATATGTGAATCAGAAGAGCTGAGAAAGATATAGCACTAGGGGGCAGAGACTAATGGCTGAATTTTCAGAAGATTATAAATTCTCTCTTTGGGACCTGAAGGAAGTGGCAGAGCTATTTCAAACTATTGAGAACTAACTGCCTTAAAAATTAAGCTTTAAGTGACATACTAACATCTATCCAGAAATCAATAGTTAACTAAAAAGCTGAATTCAGATTTTCTGACTCCTAGATAAATACCACCTATAAATCCGCTGGGCAGAATCTCAGTCTCTGGCAAAACTCCTATTATCTTCAGTGGGAAAGTGTTCATTCTCAGCTTTTCCACATCTCTCATACAATAAGCCAAATCACAAATATCCCAGGTATAGTGGGATACAAGATAGGAAAAAGGTATACAAGGTAGGAAAAAGAATCATTCTTGGAAGTCATCCTGTGCCTTACAGTGCAAAATCCCTCATACTGAGAGGACTGTTGTGAACAACTCACATTCATATTAATGGAATATTAACTTTAAAGTTTCTTTCTGCCCCCTTGCCTGTGTTTCTCCTTCCTGTGCATCGATCAGGAAGTCAAAGTAAGCACACAGGTGGCATTCTCAACAAAAGCAATGTACCAAGTGGTATTTAAAATTATAACTTTTACTTATCTCTATTGTGGAATATGGTTTGTTCTGGGTAGTGCACAATAGCTTTGCTGTCTGTCAGAAAGCTGAGAAATTTCTTTTGATAAAAAAATAAAATTGATTCACTGGCAAAATGCAGTTTTACTTCTCCAGCCCATAAAACTTCAAAATGTCATATTTTGCTGAGAGAAGAAGAGCACGAGAAAGGAGAAAACTGAATAAAAAACAAATATAGGACATCTTTGTCATGAAGATTAGAAAGAAAAAGAAGGAAAAGAGGAGGAAAAGAACCTTCCACTTCTTTCCCAAAAGCATCTAACATTTGGAAAAAAAATGAAAGCAGCAGTCCAGGAACCCTGAGCCCTTGTTGCTGTCAGGTGAAGTCAACTTGAGACAGATAGAAAAGAGCTGCAGCCTGTGCTGAGGGTTTGATGGGGATTTGCTCTGGTTCAGCCTCTGTCATCACTTTCACAGCAGTTACAGATGATGTGGGCAATGACAAAAATGCCTCTGAGTGCTTCAGAGAGGGTTTATGCATTTATGAGTAATTCAGGACATGTGTCTTGGGGCCAAGTCACTGGTTATCTCTAGCTCCTTGAGTGAGTGTAGGCAGAAGGGGGTGGGGGAGTTAAAATCCCTCTGGTTCTAACTGTGATTAAATCCATGCTGTTGGGATATTTTGGTGATTCAAATGCCATTAAAATATCTCAGAGCATCTATAAACTAAACCAATCCCCATATTTGTTGTCTTCTCCAAGGTCAGACTGACAGCGTCTGTGGAGTTTTTTGCCTTTACTCATAGTCTAGGATGTGCTGCCCTTTCCCACCAGCATCCATTAACATCACCTAATTATTCCCTGATGCTGGACAGATGGTGTTTTCAATCTTGCCTGCTCTTTCTGTCGGACATCATAGTTGGTGGCTTTTGGGATTAGGTGGTGGGTTCACTGGAGGTGCTGGGGAGTGCTTCTCAAGCAGCCGTACTCAGGGACACAGAAGGTGCTATGTGGATCACCTCTGCTTAGACATCCCTATCAAGGCTGTCAGTGATGGTAAGGTGGGTAGCTTTGGTGATCCTGTCCTCCACATCCCTCACTGCTGTAGGGAAGAGCAAGGTAACAATTGCCCATGACTGAAAAAGGCTTATAGGTAACATAGCAAGTGAAGCATGGCTGCAACCTGGAGATGAGAAGGATAACACCATCTGTGTAGCCAATGTGCTGAGCACAGGCTGAACAAAACAGTTTCTTGATAGTTTGTAATAATCTTTTAAAATACCTTTTTCTGGTAGGGGGAATATTCTTATCAACCAATTCTTTCAGCGAAGACTTTGCTAGTCTTGCCCAGCCTACCATTACCTTGAAACAAAGTGTTGCACACCCTTCCACACTAGGTTAAGCATTGTACATGCTTCAAAACAACCTCTCTGCATCTCTGGACTTCAGCCCTTTTTTATTCTTCCTCAAATTACCATTGCTGTCAAAATTTGTTATGATTTCATCAAAAGATGTCAGATAAACCTCAAGTGGGATTCTTCAATGAGGTGGATTGGTGGGATTTAGCGAACCGAGTGTAATAATTTAAACTCATGGTCTCTAAAATTTTAGCTCTCATTGTGCACAGTTTTCTTCCTGGTATTCTGCAATGGCCAGCACAGCCTTCACCATCATTCCAGTCAGCAGTAAGAAAAATTTGAACATCATTATTTCATGGGCCTCTGGTATCTTATGTTTTATTTCTGAGGGTTTATTGATGTCTTCAGGTTGTAGTCATGTCTCCTAGACAATCCACACTTCCAAATCAAATGACACTATACTCATGGCAAAGTGATAATCACAATATTTTTACTGGTCTTTGGATTCAAAATCTTATGCTGCTATTATAATGTTATGTTAAAGTCTATTATATGTTCCTCTGATAAATTATTCTTAAATTTCAAATAAATTAATCTGCAAGTAAAATTAATTTAGCTGTGCCTAAAATTGAAAGGAAACATTAAAAGAGAATTTAAAAACCCCCAACAATTATCCATTTAACTGTCTTTGTTTTATAGTTCATCAGTCATGACATGATCTTTGCTCTCTCTTGAAACATCTCAGATCTGACTAGTGCATTCTGAGAGATTTTTCTGTTTTAAGATAAATATCTGGAGCAAACAGGAGAGACAACTGCCAGAGGAAAGCTTCTACTACTTTCCTCATGGAAGTTCGTAAAAATAAGCTCCACCTTTGTCCTTCCACTGTGATTAGCTGAAGTGGTACCCCAGAGAATTTGCACTATCCTGGGCATCCTCAGGCTGTCTTTGGGGCAGGGATCAAGCTCACTTGTAGAGGACAAACACAAGTGGACAAGTTTGTGAACTAGGACTTGCAAGAAGTGGTTGGGTGAATTTCTACTCACTCTTTGAGCGTCAAAGTCCTCCTTTTTGTAGGACATCTGACATAGTAGGTTTTGTCCATGGAAGAACCAGGGCTGCAACTGCCAATCCAGCTTGCACTGGCATTCCCAGGTGCTGAAAAACACTGGTTTCAGCGAGGTGGGACACGTTGGTGTACTGTTTGGTGCCAGTGCACATAATGCTGACTACTGTGTTCTTCCACAAACAGCTTTTGCTGTGCGTTCTCCATGCTGCTGCTTCCTTTTTTCTCTGCCCCCTTTTTTTGCAGC